ATATTCCAGATAACTCTACAATTTTTTTCATTCAAATGAAATTGAATTTAGAAATGAAAATAGGGAACCCTGTACTGCCTATGTGAGAATGCAAGAAGCATTTAGTGAAAATTTATAACAATAATAGGACTTAGTTTCATTTGCAACACATGGGAGGTTTACGTTAGCTGAACTTAAGTAAAAGCAGGATTATAGGTCTATCTTCTTAATGATTCAGCTTTTACAAAGACATAGCAAACCTCCCTACTATTGTCAAGAAAAGCATTCATTCAGTTAGATCATGCTAACTTCGTGAGAAACATGTCTGCAGATTTTCCTGAAGCTGAAAGAACTGACAAAATTATTCAATGCATTAAAGGCAAAAAGGTCTCTTTAAGATTTTGTTTCAGCAAACATATTAAAATACAGGCTTTCTTTAGCAACTTGTTGCTTGACAAACAGAACAAGCTTTTTCCTAATGCCACCTTTTACTTACGTTCATTTCTTTGTTACATACACATCACCTGACTTCAGCACAAACCAAATGTCCTATACGCACATGGAAATCTATTGTGAGGTAAATCTGGCTACAACATTTTCCACTTGTCTGTAATAAAAAAAAAATTAACACTTTTATTGTGACTACTACTGAAATGAGGCACTGCAAGAGAAGAGAGTGGAACTTTTCTTCAGAAGGGAAACTCCTCCATCCCTTATTTTTGCAATGTTTTATTGACCTCCACTTTTATAAGGACCAATTTCATTTAAAAAAGCAACTGTTGGCAGTTTGCCGCTACCTAATTTATTTTTTGGCTCCAGTCAGGTATTTCACAGTAACAGTTATACCTGTAAACAGCTGTCTGAAGCTAAGATTTATACAGAATACATAAAAGCCTGTTAAGTCATCAATCGAGCAGTGACTTTGTTATCGTGTAGTAACAACAACCCCTTTTTTGCAAACAGGCATATGTAATCCCTGAACCTCGTGATTTCACTCATATTGTGAATAAGACACTACACATATATTCACTTTAATACCTTGAATAGTCCATTGATTTAAATTCACGGCATAGAATTAAGCACATACGGCAGTCACAGTCTCAGGATGAATTTAAGCACCTGCTAAGAACTCAACACTTAAATTACCGCTAGTTGCTAGTTTAAGTCTTTTTTGAGAGAAAACTACAATAATTCATTCTCTTCCAAGAGAAGAGAAGAGAGAAGAGAAGAGAAGAAGAGAAGAGAAGAGAAGAGAAGAGAAGAGAAGAGAAGAGAGCAGAAGCAAAGGAAAGGACAGAAAAGGAGAGAAAATGAGGGAGAAATAAGTTACAGAAGCAGATGACTGTATGTAGCTCAGGCTTTTTTCCGCTTGCCTGGGCCTCCTTTCTGGTCAGTTATGCAATTCAGAGGAAGCAGTGTGGTGGGAAAGATCCCACAAGGAGCTGGAAAAGACAATACCAGAAGGAAAAGTCTTATTTGGTTAAACAAAAATGACCTAAAGGAAGAACATGTAAATGGAGTCCTTATTTGCAGGCGGACTTAATCATCCTAGTTTGCCACTTGCTCAATAATACTTCTCATTGAAAAGAAGGCTTGATCTGTTATGATGTAACATGGTGCTGTAATTCTTTCACCTTCCTTAACCTTTATTCATTATTAAGGACATTCTATTAGTCATATATACATATGAATGATGTTTTAGCAACTTGGTATATTTTGGGGGGCCCTGAACTTCCTGAGCATTATAAAAGACAGTAGCATTCAACAGGATCAGTTCTAGTTTTGCGGGTATCACAGTTAAACATTCTTTATTCCAAGTGCAATGACATATGCTTATTTCTACTTCAGTTAATGGCAAAATCTTGCCACGCTAGTAAGTAGTAAATTCTAGGATAGTAATCCTACAATGCTTTTCAAAGTTCAACTTCTAAATGATAAAATTTACAGATAAAAATATCTGTCAGTAAAGTTTCAGGTTGTGTCATCTGTAGGTCACTGTCACCATTTTTTGTCTGGAATAAAATATACTTTTGAAGTTCAACAGTGTAGTAAGTGACAACATGTAAAATAGAAAATTGTTTCAAAATAAACAAAAATACTAAAAACATTCTTAAAATCTGAATCCGAAGCACTTTGCTGAACTGCAAATATTGCCATAAACATTTGGACTTGTACACAAGATCACAAATAAGTAGGTTGAATTCAATGCAACTTCCAAACATCTCAGTGTTTGTGTTCACATTTTTTCCTCAGGGCCGCCAAATGCAACATCTGATATTCTTGTGCTATTTCCATTATTCAGATATTAAAATATTGCAAACAAAATCAGAAGTGGGTCCTGGATGCATAAGAGAAAGCTTGTGAAAATCTTAAACACAAACAAAACAGGTTAAATCTGTGAGTACTGTCCCTTTGCGAAGGCCAGACAGGAGCTCCTGGATTTACTCAGTGCTGGAAATAGAATTCCAAAAAGAAAAGCTAATTCCCATATCAATTCCAGCAAAAAAGCAAAACACAACTAATATTTAACTGGTGGGATTGTTAAATGATGATTATTCCTGACTAGGGAGTATCTGTCTTCATGTGAATTAGAAAAAAATTAAGGCTGAAAGTGAAATCTAAAGTCATCAAGTTCATACCCACGCTCTGAGGCAGGACCAGTTTGTCTAAACTACCAGATTTCAAAAATTGCCATGGACATTCTTTCCACGGCATTGCTAAGTGTTCTGGTCCAATGCCAGCTATCCTCTAAGAAATAAAGTTCTTAATACTTTGGCTATATTTCTGATATAAAATAAGCTGAATACTTCTTATTGCAAACTTTGTGAACAAAATTGGAGTCTAGATTACAGACTCATTTTACTTCTTAAGAGACTTGCTATCGCAACTCATCTCCTTCTTTTCTTTGCTAAGCGGAACAAACTAAATTCTTTCACTCATTCCTCACAGGTAATATTCCTGGATTTGTTTCAGTTCTTGACATCTTTATATCTTTCTCAAAGATGACCAAAATATTCCAGCTGCTCAGTGGCAGTAAAATGAGATTATCTTCCTTTTGATATTCTGTTTGCAAAGCCCAAAATATTTGACATTTTTTGTACTGCACTAGTGACTAATATTTATTTTGTGATTAAATATAATTCTTCTGCCATATTGTTGTTGGCAGATATTCCTTAGTTTTTTTCCTCACAAAAGATTTTTCCTTCTTCTGTGCAACTACATTGCATTTTATTTCTTATTTTAATTTTACTGATTTTTAATTATTTCAACAATTTTTCAGTGTAATTTTCAACAGGAATCCTACCAGTCTCAAGAGCTTGCAGTCATCCAGAAGCAACAGTTGGCTGAATTGTACATGCTGTTCCAATAGCGTAAAAACACAATTCATCTTACTTGTGTATTTTTTTCTACCAAATAATTAGTTAATGGAAATTGGAATAGACTAAACATGGGATTATGCCATTTGGGATGCCTCTTGATAGTATGCCTCCTGGATCAAAAATTCAAGTTTAAAGACAAGTTCAGTGTCAATCAGTTGAATGCCTACTTTTTAATTTCATTTGGATGTGGTTTTACTGGACTGCATTTGATTTCTTTTTTCCAGTTCATCAAATTAATTTAACATTTAAATTCTTCCCTACAGATGACTTGTAACTTTCCTAGGTTGGCATTTAATTGACATCCTCTACTTCATCACTGAAAATACTGAGTAGCATGAACCCTCGACAGACTCTTCTGCAATCCCTCTTGACAATTTGTCGGTGAACCACTGAGAACAATCTTGGCTTTTAGCTGAATCTGTAAGATTCAACCAAGACTTTGACTGTGCTTACAGGTACTGCTGAAAGTGGCTGATCCAAGCAAAAAATTAGAAAATAATTACCAGTGAGTAACACCACCAGGTAAATTCTGATAGTGAGGATTACAATGAACACCTCTTTGGGTGTCTAGGACCTCAGAAAAATGTTTTGAAAAGCTAAGCCTAAGAATAGAAAGCTTGAGGGAAAATAATTTTTGGTTGGACAGGCGGACTTTTACGACACTGTATCAGGCACATACATTTTACCTGTCTCGGAGTGCTTCTTGCTTGAAAAGTTGTGCACATTGTGTTGGTGTATTTTATTACTCTCCAGATTCCATTTACAGGCAGAATTCTTTTCTCCTGTCATCAGGATTCAAGCAGTTTTCTGATCAATCCTGCAAGGCAAACAAGACCATAATTTTCTACAAGAAAAAGAAACTTCCTAAAACAAACCCAAATCCAACTCAGAAATACAAGAACTTCATCTTGCTTTCACTGCCCCGTAATTCAGATAGCTGCATTCAGACAGGAGGGTAAGAGGGAAACGTTTCCTTCTGCCACTGTTTCTTTCTGTCTGAAGTTGGTTGCTGTCATGAATATTTGTGCTCTACATATCACACGTTTCTTTGATAAACTGATACAACAGTATCCTGGAATGCTGTATATTACTAATTTTCAAATTACTGCAGGTTTCTGTTCCTAATGCATGAAGAAAATTAAGAGAGTTTGAAAAACAGTTTGCAAGGCACGTGCCTGTTGAGAAATTACTCTCTACCACATATAATACTGACAAATTTCTCATTTATTTTTCAGAATAGACTTTGTATATCAGCCATCTGCCCCTGACTGTAGCCATCAGCTCCTATTGAGGCATGGTTTCATCTTTCACTAAAGGATTAGCCCGTGCCATTCTCATCTGATATAGTCTTGCCCATCCATATATTTAACACCTTATTTTTAAATGTCTCTTTCCTGGTTATAACACAGAGATTATTATTCTCAGAGGTGATGAGGAGATGATCTGTATGAGTGTGAGAGCATTCCATTAAACCCCCCAATAAGCTCTGAAAGGGATATAAATGCTCTTTGTTGTGGGTGCAGTTGAATATTTTCTGTTCTCTTCTTTCGCCAGGAAGATATGAGTGGCTGGAGTGTTTGATTCTATATATAACTAGTTGATGTCAGCTGGATGCCAATCCCTTTGAAGAGTATCAGCCCTCAGTTTGTCTCGATACTAGGTACCATGCAGATCCAAGCAGAAGGGTAGAAACCATCCTGGACCAGGCAGGTCATCCCCATACATAACTAACTCCTGAAGCTTCAACTAAAGGGTTGAGATCGTTTTTTTCTGCACAACAAAACATTAGGGTAAGTGTATTGTTTCCTGAAATATTTTGACATTGCCTGTCCTACAAACTGTCATATAAAAGACATTTATGTAACCTCTTGACTCTGCAAGGAAAAAGGTGTTTATTTTTTTACCAAGTCAGAAATGCACTTTCTTTAAAGATGTCAGAGCATCTCATTTAGTTCCTCAAATTCTTTATTAGATTAAGAAATGTCAAAATATAAAATCATTCTGAAATGATTAAGCAAGATGTAATTAAAATATTAGTTATGATTTTACATCTTTTAATATGTGTTGATATGAGACAGCCTAGACCACTGACACTGATTTTGCTACAGAATTTATGTAGCCAACTCAAAGTTTATTCTTTCGAATCTTCTATCCATCAGAACATGTCCTAGCATCTGTCTGCAAGCAAAACCTGACAGTGCATTTTGCACAATAAAACTGCAGTATTTCAAAATCAGAAATAACTAAATTCACTATTCAGCCATTCTAAAGAGGCTATTAGAAATTAAAGTTGGCTGAATTGTGCAAGCTGGCTCAACAATGTAAAAATGTGTTGTTTTTTTTCAGCAAGGAAAAATCGTATCAGAAAATCACAATGTTATCACATTCTGCCATGGTCAAAGAGAGGAAAGAACAAGCATCAGCCATTATGGATGAAATACAGAGAAATGGTATAGCGCTGAACCCAGCTTACTGTATATGCAATGTCCTCTAGCCCTCTCTAATATTTTTAATCATAGAGTTTAACTCTCTTACAGCTTTGTCTCTGGGTGTTTTGCCATAAATAATCTTGTGGGAGTATCATGCTGCCTATGGTAACTAATCCTTTTGTAGTTGCCTCTTTTCATTTGGAAGCTATTTTCAGATGAACAACTGCTGGGAAGGAATGAAGTCATCTAACAGCTGAGGTACATTCTGCTAGGATAGCCTTTCAGAATATTATTTGGGGTTAATAAACATGACTTCATTCCATTTTAAAACGCTATCATCTAAGAAACATGCAGATCTGTATCCTCTTTTTTTGCTCTGTTTCACTCTGCTTTTTTACATGAATGATAAAGAATTTTGAAACAATTGTTTAGTTCTCTATTCCATCCTCTCAAACTTTCTTTGCAACTAACAAATCTTACTAGTGTTTGGCAATTCTCTCTAATGCACAGCCACCAATTAATCTTATATACAGAAATTTTACTCTTCTGTGGTTGCACAGATGAAAATGCAGACATTTATGAGAAGGTAGTTTGATTTTCTGAAACAGGTTCTTAAAATTACACTTCTAGTGTGACACCTTAAAAAGCAATTAACTCAGCTGGGAATACAAATCTGCTTGGCTTTCATTAGGTATGCGCTGGATGCTTTTGGAGATCCTTCCAATCCTCCCCATGAAGCCCTTTTTACCATCTAAGTAAAAGATCAATTTTTAAAAACTGATAAGCACATCACAACCCTCACTATAAAAATAGCGAGCTCCATTAATATTTAGAATTTATGAAAATTATATGGCTCACATAGGATAAAACACTGAATATTAAATTCCAGTATTGAAAATGTTTCTTGTGGACTTCTGTTCCAAAGAGTTTGGGGATGGTTTCTGTACTCCCTCACTGATCATTGTGATTGCAGGAAGAGCAGGACAAGAGACATAAGGTTTTTAGAAAAAGAAGCTACGAGTTTCAGTGCCTGGTCCTACTCCCTCTGATATTTCCATAGTTTTTTTCTGTAATTTGTATTCCTAAGTATTTGTATTCCTCTTTGCTCTTTCCATTCTCCACTGAACACACACTTCAATCTGAAAGCCAGTCTGACTAGATTTCATTACAAGTCTTTTTTTTTTTTATTTTTATTGTAAACCAAGTACTATATGTGCCTGAAATAGCCTGTAAGCTCTTCAGGGTGAAAAATGTTTTTCATATGTGTGTTTGGCACCAAGCATTTGATGTGGTAAATGTTGCTACTATTCACAGCAATACTAATAAATCTACCATACTGTCCTTGAAATGATTGGAGTTATTGGATAATCTGTGCTAATGCTTGGCATTTGCCTCACATAATCTGTCCTTTTATTATTGACGTATTATCAGATTTGCTGTCAAGTTTAGATACATACACGTAGATGTGACAGCTTACCCTACAAGATACGCTGGGATATGTGGCCACTGAAGGCAATAGTAACTCTTTAAGTGTACATTCTACTTTTGCAACTTCTTTGGATGCCTGGGATATTTAAATGTTACCAAAAAAAAAAAAAAAAAAAGAAATAAATTTCATTAAATAGGTGTGATAAGAGTCCGAAATGTCTAACTGTACAGCTCAGTGAAAACAGTTAAGAAACAGAAGGATAACCAAAGCTGAAATCACACAAAGTATATGCTAGTTCTTTGGGACCAAATCTGAACAACTCTTGGAAAAAACAAGGAGAAATCTGGTTTTTAAATTACTAAATTCAGCTCTATTAATTGTTAACATTTTGTTTTTCCCCTAATTGCTAATTCAACAAGTTTTACCTGAGAAGTGGCAGTTGAACTGCTGTCTTTTCTGGGGTCTTGCACCCGGTAATTACACAAAAATTAAATGCACTGGTCCAGCCAGTCTCACAGACCTGTGAATCGCTCAGAGGTAAACAGTAACACAAGATTCTGTAGCACAAGCCCCGGTAGCTTGGAATGACACACAGAAAGCATACCTGCTGCATTTTATTTCAGACCCTTTTTATTATAACAGTTTCAGGAAAACAGTGAATCTCAAGTTCACTGTTAACAGATATTCATAGCAGAACCAGTTGAGATAAGATACAAAATCAGACAAGTTTTTATCAGTGTCTTAAATCTGGGCAAGGCTGGTAATGACTGAAAGTCCACATCTCCTGCTGGCTTGGGGGACGTTGTGTTTTAGAGAAGTTCTACATGTCATAAAATGCTGCAGGAACAGAAACCAACTCTAAACTCTCTTATGGTCTCAGAAGAGAGGCTGTAGTAGTAAATCAGTGTGAATGTAGTGACATCCCCAACCCCTTGGTTTTTCACTGGCAGGCTTGGACTAATTGTAATATTTCTAAGGCTACTTGGTAAACATGTATGTATATATGTATGTTTAAGTAAGCCCTTGGAGTTTATCAGGTTACCCTTCAATTACACTTAACTCTCATGTCCAGTTCTATACTATTTCTTAAATGCATTCCTTAGGAGTGACATGATTAACTATCTTTCATGATACAGTCAAAAAATCTTATTTCTGATACTACAACAAACACATTATCTGATATTCATTATTAAAATTTATAATCTAGATGAACGTCTTTAGAAAATTGTAAACTGGAGGATTAAGGGGGGATTAGGGAGTGCATGCAGGAGGAACTACATCAACCATATTTAAATACAGCCTGTTATGATTTTAAGCACAGGACAGGAAGGACTTAGCAGGAAGAAACAGAGAAATTAAGCTAAAAGTTTAAGATTAGGATTAAACTAGGAATTAAAGTTCCAGTATTAATTTACAGAACCCATTTATGACTTTGATGTTCTCTTTCCATCACCCTCTAAATGTCCTCCTTTTCTCATTCTTCATCACCTTTTCTGCACTGACACTGAAACAATCCCTAGACACATCATAAAACCAGACAGATGATTAGATTTTAGCTGGCAAGGGATTCAAATGAATTTCACACCTGACTTTTTGGGATGCTGCCTGGATACACAATAGCACACAACTGTGGGTTACAAAGTACCTTGGAGCCTTTAGTTAACACTAACAAGAACAAGGGAACAGCAAGGCTCAAAATAGTGAACATCCAGCATGTCCCAGAGAATACAGTGTGGTTTGGACAGAGATCTGCAATCACCTCAGCACCCCAGTCTCTGCGGATATACATACTACCCACTCTGTGTACAATGAAGAAAAGCTTTTTCTGCATGAAATTGTTGCTAATTTGAGGGGTAAATTTCTTATTCCTTACTAAGAGAAAACCACCCAACAGTCCATCCCCCTGGAGTAATCTTGAGAAATGACAAAATCAAAAGATGATTTGTGGGTCAAAATTTCAGGGCAAAGGCCAATATCTAGAGCATTTATTTCAGCCACAGAGCCCAAACCCCACCACTATCTATCACTCATATGGCTGCACTGGACAAGCTGAGTCATTTTTCTCCCACGTTAAGAACCTTCTGTTTTGCAGTTACCTCTGAAATAACAGGAGGGTGTTGGGATTCTTTGTGTACAGTATTTTTAAAGCAGAAGTGCATGTTCTGGCTCACCAAACAGTTAGCTTGCTCTTGCTCCAGTTACATCTATTACAAACATTCAATTGAAATCAGTACAAGCAGAAGTGGATCAACAGTGATGCACTTCAGGGCCCACAGACTTGTTTGATTTACTACATGGAAAATGCCTGTCTATACAGCTTCAGCTAAATATTTAATATACCGGTCTCAAGTTTTCCTACATATCAGCAAACCACATTGTTTTTACAACATAAAGTTACTAGGAGACATAAACCATGTTGAACATGCCATGTACTCAAAATAAAACTCTGAAAATACTTTTTCCCCCCCTGGCATATGCAATATTAACTTTGACATTAAGTACCTTCTGCAGTTAATTAATTTACAACATTAATTTTAAACTGGGTTTCCTATGTGCTTGTTCTGGAAGCAAGATACAGTGCTTTCATTTAATTTTAATGCATTAAAATATATGTCAAAGTTCAGAATTTTAAATCCTGTAGACCATAAGAATATCTGCAGAATAGAATGTCTTATTATTAAAGAAATAACAGAATGTGACTTTGAATAAGTGGATCAAAGAAACACACTGGACCATTGATACAATCCTCAAAGCACACTGCATCTTCTGTTTTTCATCCTGAAGTTTATGAACAACTGAGGAGAACAATTTCAACTAATAAAATTATATATATTAATGTAACTGGCAATAGGAATGGTTTTCTTAAAAATTCTATTCTTACTATGTGATCCAATTACTGTTATATTTGTTACATTCTACTGCTAATGAAATTCTCCATTTACAGTCCCAACTGAAGTCCCCTTCCCCACTTATGCGTCTTCATTTTTAAATCCCCCAGGAGGTCACTAAAGACAAAGAAGGAGCTTTTCCCAAGCAATGAATAAAGTAGTATTGTATCTAGTAAGTCAGTTTCCTCTTAGTATTAAAAGTAAAGTGGTCTAAATGTATTAGTTCCTAGAAGGATGTTGTAATTCTTTGTTAGGGCTCTCACTTTCAACACCTTGAGCTTTATTTTGAAAGCTTCTTTATAAATAGTTTAAAAATACTATTTAATACTGACTTTCTAATGCAAACTTTTCTTAAAATACGAAACATGCCCTGGATTTCAAAAGCAAGCAGATGTCAAAGAATAATTGAAAATAAATTGTTTATAAGCAATAAGAAACTGGTAGGTATGGTTAAAAGGGGTTACCTCCTCAACTGTCTAATGCAGGACACACAAAGCTAACCAAAGGTCTGATTTGGGAACACTGGGGTCAGATGGAATTTTGTTCCTGGTTTCAGCAGAAGCCAGTTTTTACCAGTCTGCTATTAAGACAGTGTGTAGGACATTACAGACCCAATTTTAATAACAGCTGAATGTCATTCAACTAAAGTAAATTTGGAGCTTGGGGTGCTTAACAACTTTGAAAAAAAACAGGTTTGTGGTGTTCAATACTGTGCTCCAAAATTTTAGATGGATGATTAATTTCACTAACACCATATGCAGCTATGGTCTGTGTTAGATACGTACACATTTACATGTTGTTGGATTTCAGGTGTAGAGCATGCAATATCAGGCATTTAAGAAAAACAGAGGTATGTATTTATCCATTGTATTGCAGTCTCACCCAGCTTAAACCTTGGAAAAAAGGTCAGCACCCCTAGAGATATCATGGTAGAGGAACTATCGATACTCAGCAACAGAGGGGCAAGACTCTTCAAGAGACGTCAACGGAGATCTGACAAATACACGTATGAAAACTATCATTATGTAGCAAACAAGCCAAGAAATGTGAGTATTTTGTAATGTTAATGAAACACAGTGTGACTAGCTTGGGGTTCCCTTGGTGCCCATGATGCATGTTGTGCATGGCTTATTTGTAGTGCCAGGAGGAAAAAAAGCAAAATCCTTTACTAGAATGAGGGTAACATGAAGGGAGCCACTTCTATTTTATTGTGCTCCTATAGACAAATAAAAAATCTGAAGGTCTCAATACTTAAGGCCATGAGATTCAAATAATTCTCATCCAAAGCTGATTCAGGTTACCAGTGATCAGAATTCTTATCCTGTAATAACTGGCTCATTGACTATTGAATATTAACTAGTTGATGATATTCAAAAGGTTGGAAGAAATAAGAGTCTGTTTCATGCAACCAGTATTTTTATTAAAATAGGTTGGTGGTCTCAACGTGGCTCCCAGGCAGCAAAACAACTCTCACAGCTGGCACTAACACACTTCTGGCTTGCCTGCCTCAATAAGAAGAAAAAGGGTTAAGCTTGTCACTGAAAGACAATTATTCTTCAAACTAGTCCCTCAGGAATTGGGTTAAAGCATTAGTGGTATCCTGGCAATCCTCATGGCAGGAACTAAATGCACCTGCAGTTTGTCTCATCTGTGGCCTTTGCAAAATATTTAAATCTTTTGCTTAATATCTGAAAATAGGGACAACAACTTTCATAAATTTTACCTAACTCTCCAGTGTGCTGCAAGGTTTAATTATTTGAACATGAATACTCTATGCCCAGACTAATACAGCATGTAAACAGCCCCTCTAATTCCAGTACTGCATTAAATTATGCTTCTCAGTTACATGTGAGCATCCTCACTGATTTCAGATAGGAAGGTATGCGACTAAAGAAGCAGAATTTGTCACAGGACTTTTAAGTTGCTTTGAAGATGAAAAGAAATGTGTGCTACAGAAGTTAATTATTATTATTTAACCTAGGAAATAATTCTCATGGAACAGCAATCCTCCTTCCTGAAGATTTACAACTCATCATTGCATAGGTTCAAAAAATGAACTTTACTCAGGAATAAAAAAGTATGTCTTAATATCATATGTCATAGAATAAAAAATTTTATGTTTTTTTTTATGGTGCAGATATTTCAATATTCTTTGGTCACTCACTCAATAGGTATTGAATTACCCAGGGATCAAATGGGATCATGTCTGAGTTTTGACAGATCTACCTTTAAAAATAAATCTCAACAAAAAAAATCCCATATAAAAAATCTGCGTAACTCTACTGAACACCCAAAACTGTTAATAGAACACTATTATTTAGAAGCACATCTATGTATACTGTCCCCCCAATTTCTCCCTGTATTGAGCACTAGAAGCTACACAAATAAATTCTGAGCACAACACCATCAGTCTCATCAGAATTTCTGTTTCCAGTACCATGCTTTTGCTATAAAGTCTAACAAACCAGTTCCCCTCTAATCAACTTCTTCCCACAAAAACGCATAGAGTACACATGCTGTACAGTCAGTTTGACATTCCACCATGAGAAGAAACAATGCCTCTTTGGTTTCTGTTTCCTTCCCTCAAATGCCTGTCTAGCCACCACTGGTGTTGTCTTCATTATCTTTATGATTCTCGCTGCCAAAATTAGTCTTTCTAGCATACTTCAGGATGGCTACAAAACATACTGCCTTGATCTTTTTCTGTTTCAAGTTTAAACAAGTATTATTTGTTTGCTATCCTACTTTAAGAAACTCTTAAACAGTCTATATTTAAATTGCTTTTAGTCTATGTGTCACAGCTAAAATAAGATAGTGACTTCTTATGAGACTCTCGTTCTATATTTATGTAACAATGATTAAGCCTTTGGATGCTTCCTTAGAACCGATGGCCCGATAGGATGGTGGAAAATAACAGCATATCATTAATCTCCAGAAAGTGACCTGCACTGAAATTATTTCTATTACAAACAAAGGAAAAGAAAATCCCAAACAAAAGCAATTCAACAAATGCAGTGAATTTTCAACTAAAATGGGAAGAGAAGCTTTGACGAATCAGTGCTTTGAAACTCAAATGGCTCCAACTTGCCAGATTTCTTGGATCTTTGGGCGGCAAGGCTGCTCTGTCAGGCACGTAACAGCTTCTAGGGTCTAGCATCCAAGGGACACATTATGGGCCCCCTTGCTAAAGTGATCGGACCTGCTCTGTGCTGTGAACCACACAGCCCATGGGCACAGGTGGGTTTTGTGGCCATTGGTGTGAGCAGCAGATGGGACAAACTCTCTTTGTAGAGCGAGTATCAATATTTAGATACCCCAAACTCAGGAAAAGCTCAGACAACAGCTGGATTGTTACAAGGCTTCAGGAGTGCTGTTGATGTAGCTCACAACACCTCCAGTCCTTTCAATATAGCATTCACACACCTGTAATACAGACATTCAAAATTGTGCTGGGATACCATTCTTAAAAATGAAAAATGATTTGTTTTTGCCAACATAGCCAACGTAAGAGAGTTGTGAAACTGTTCTTCATCATCTGGCTAACAGCCAGAAAATTCTGGGGAATGCTACCAAGCAGCAGGACAGTACATCTTCAGGTAGTATACCCTGGATCTGATATCTGGGCTGTAAATCGGAGTATCGCTCCAATCCTCAACAGAGAATCACAGAGGCTTGTTTTGCCTGTGCTGTCAATGATATTTATTTCTATTTTAATGTAGCGTGGAGAGCCCATACAGAGTGTTAGAATGGATGGCCTCAGTGTTGAAGGAATTCCCCAGCATGCCCCAATGACACCTCCTAATACACCTGATCCCCGCAGCCCACCACATCCTGACAACATTGCCCCAGGTAATGTATGAGTTTACAGACATTAAAGGTATTTAACTCTCATTTCACAGCAGAGGAAGGGCCTCTTTACAAAATAGTATCTTTAACAAGAATTTGTTAATGGATTTCTCTATTAGAAATCAATAAATTTGCATCAGAAAAATCAGATAACTAATCAAAATCTCCCTCAGAAACATAAAGCAGTGGTCTTCAATTGCTTCTGTTCATTTTTAAAGATTTTATATGCCTTTTGTACTACTTTTCCCTAAAGTGAAACCATACATTAATATCAAGAGAGATTGCTCCTATATTTACTGATCTTATAAACATTGAGAAACAGATCCTCAGATTGAAAATCAGAAAAATATATTGGTTTTTCTTTGCCAAACTTTTGTTTCTAATATGCAACATGGTGCTCAACAGTCTGAAAGTTATCCATTGTTGTTTATCCATAAATGTAAATCCAAAGTCACTGCAAGTTTTGCTAGAAAAAACTAAAAAGGAATTTGCCTCTGGCTGTATAAACTGTTCTTTTTTTAAGTCCTTAACTGTGAGGGTACTGTTGTCTTTATTTAAAGCAGTGAGCTACAAGAAGGCCTTATTTTGTATTTTTTCAAGACTAGAGAAAGCTAATTTGTTTTAATTAATTTATTCAGTGATACAGCTCTTCTTCCTGTTTATGAATTATCCATGAGCAGACTGTGGCTTTTACAAATTCATTCTTTGTTCAGAATTGCTCAATGCAGGTTTTGTGCAGACCTCTTCCAGTCTATGTAAACTAGGTCAACGCTACTCTGTTAGTGACTGCTAAGACTCTGTGCATCCATGGGTCAAATACAATGCAAACAGAGGTAATTTCCATTGGTAAGACATGATAGAAATCTTCAAGCCCTCCTTTAGGCAAAAATGATTTGGTTTGTTTCCAGCAAAAGGAGTAGATTTGAAACCACGAGGGTTTTTTTTAAGCTTATTGAATGAAACAGCATTACTTTAAAGAAATAGATGTAGTGAGAGGATAAGAGGGTAGAAGACATTTCTCTTGTTTTTCAAATAAACAGTGTAACTCAGCTAATTGGATAATCCCTTGCTGGTTTAAATTCTTCAAATTGTACA